ATCCCATTGGGGCACAAGACAGTGTTTTAGTTTTAGAGGAGACTCACTCATATCAATCAAAGGACAGCAAATATCCATGGCTAGATGGTATCTTTTGTAACATAAACCAAGTGAGTATCAAACTGCGACTACAGAAGGAAGCTCTGGAGCTGACAACCCCGGAACGTCATAGATTTCTTCCTGAAAGCACTAAGCTGAGCAAACTGTGATGGGTCTTCAACGACTGTCACACCTACTGTGCTTCACACCTAAGCTGGGAAGAGCTAGGTGACACTCACACTGAAATCCTGGGAAAGGGAAGTGGGTATCGGCAGAAGAAAAAAGGGTTTTCTAGTCCTATTTTTCACTTGTATTAGAAAATTAACATTAGACTATAAAAATTTTGTAAAAAAATATTTAAAATGTAGTATATATATATTTCAACTTAACCTATTTCTAAAAATTAACAGAACTCATATTTAATTGGGAACACACACCATATAAGCCACCTCCTTGCAACCACTTTCCCCTCAGAGGGAAGACTTCTGCCAGGCCTGTACATGCACTTCTCCTTCTAAGTTGATGCATGCAGTAGATAATCTACCCAGAGATGCCTACAGGTTTCCCAGAACAACCCCCCAGTGAGGAGGCCACTGCAGAAGCACAACTGTCCAATGCTCCATTCTTCACAGGGGCAGGGTGGGAAAGGGCAAGCTTGAGATGCTGCCTTCAGGGAGGAGCCTTACTCCTTATCTTAACACAAGGGAAAATGTTAAAATGTTTGTTTGGGGAAAGTAAATGCTAAACCTTCTTGACAATTAGTTAGCTACTCGATATTACTAATATGGGTCTACAGCAGAAAAAAAATATTACTAATACGTTACAAAGTATTTAGCTTTTAAAAAAGAACTCAGATGTGTTACACCTTTCCTGAACCTTCCTATAAACTCTGTCCACAGCTATTCCTCTGGGGAATTCTGGTTAAATCTATCAATATCTTCCCAGAAGAGCTACTGAGCATTCGTCCTGATACAGGCTGGAAGCCCAGCTCTAAAGAGGATATCCTCAAATATGCTAGGAAAATGAAAACGTCTATACAATGAAAATGTGCTGGAGTCGTTTTTAAAACATCATGAAAACATGAAAGAACTTTTCAGTCTTTGAAAAAAAGCTTTGCATAAGAAACACACAAAAACACTTAAGCCATAAAGAAAAATAATAAATTGACAAAATAAAAATGGAAATTCAACCACAGGTTATAAAAAACAAAAGGAAAATCACCATGAACTCAAAAGACAAATGAAAACTATCTGCAAAACATGACAAAAGGTTTGTTTCGCATTACTGAAAGAACCCTTTAAATTATAAGGAAAAGTAGACAAAAGCCAACAAAGAGAAAAGAAGTGACAAGGACGGGCGGATTCACAGAAGCAGCACACCTGGCTTTAACAGCAGCTTCCTACAGGAATTTCAGAACTGATGAACGGCACAGTGACACAGTTCGGAGCCACATGATACTCACCCCTGCAACAGCTGTCAACACAGGGTCTACTCCACCAGCCCCTCCTAAAACCATCTTACAGAAGATATCATAGAACTTCATATGAAACATCCACCATCTATCATTACCTAACAAAATTAATCATTTCTCAACAACATCAAGTAAGAATTCCAGTCTCCCCAGTCTCCAAAGGATTCATTTTACATGAGGACTCTGCTATTCAGGACCCAAAAGCAAATCCTGATCTGAGTGCCACCTCCCTATGCCTTCCCTCACCCTCTGCTGTCTGTCCTGTATATTTGAATTTGTTAAAGGTGACCCTATAATGTTCCTGTAGTTTTTTTGTTTTGGATGCTGTACTTAAATTGTGCTTTCTCGGGTGCTGCCATTCACTGCCAAAGGCTGCCATGAACACACAGCAGCTAAAGTAAGTTACCACCCCTTGCAGGAGGGGCACAGTAAGTACGACAAAAGTTACTGGAGTCTCAGGACTTGGCACTGGTTCGGTAACTGGGGACAGAAGAGTCTCTCCAGTGGATCAGCTCCACCACTATCTACCATGTGTAAAGCAGCAGCCATGCCCTTGGCTGGGATTTAGCCAGCAGCAGCAACCCTGGTTTTGTCTCTGCTTTAACTCCATTCCCTTAGTGTTCCTGTGAGCAAAGGCCAGCTCCAGAAGCTCAGGAATGCTCTTTCATTTTTGAACACGACAATCTGGAGCATGCAACACACATGCACCTAAGGTAGCTATAAATGTGACCCAAAACAAAACCACAAACTTCCTTAAAACGTAAGATTTCTTTGTAACTCAACTGAGTGGTTCTCCAGCATAAACTCTGTAGATAACAACAGTGTCTCAATACAAAGTGTATCACATCTGCCAAACTATAAAAGTCCTTCAAGTTGCCAACATGCCCTTTTGAGACAAGGTCCAGAAGCCTTGGACAAGATGTTCCAGGTCCCCTTCCCCATTCCTATTCCAAACCTCAGTCACACTTCTACAGGAAACCTTGTTTCTTTTTAGCTGAACATGACTATTTGGAGGTCCAAACTTCCTGGCTGTCACTGCCCTTGATGCTAGACAGTATGTCATCATAATAATGCTACTCTACTGTCATAACACTATATGATATGATCACTTCCAGGTCTTTTGAACAGGGAGCTACAAGCTAATTTTAAAGGAAAAGTGTATCCCACGTTCACAATGGCATTTCTTGTTCACATTTAAATCAGTGTTCCCGGCTCCTCAGACAGCACATGAGCCTTACTTTTCTCTTCCATTATAATCTTGCTTCCTAAATATTTTTACCTAACTGTAATGGGTATGCTTTTCTCTTTGAATTTTCAAAATTCTACACAACATTTATGAGGCCAAGGACATAGGCTGAGCAAGGTAAAGTGGATTCAGGAGGACATTATTACTCTCGTTTTCTTTCCTCACAAAATAGACATTTCTCAGCGTTGCTGCTAGGTAACAGGCCGAGTATATTACCTATGTGTGCTTCACCTGACTTCTTTCATTACCAATACATCCTGAATGCTTGCAGCAAACAGGCTCAATACAAATACAAATTAAAATTATTGTCAAGTTGATGGTTTCAGCTACAGATTACTCAAATTCCAAGTCAGAAAATACACTGGGTTGCTAAGAGAATGAAGAAAAAAGGTACACCAATTTGGCACTATCTATCAAATCTGTAAATGATAACATCTTTGGTACCTCAGTTCACTGCTAGCAATCATCCTGTCTGTACAACTGCAGCATCCTGTGGCATAACAAATGACCAGAAACACCATCAGCTTATATCACAGGGAACTTAGCAATGGAACACAATTTTTTTTTTAATTTTTTGAGATAAGATCTCACTATGTAGCCTCAAAACTCACAGAGGCCTGCCTGCCTCTACTTCCAGTGCTGGGATTAAAGGCGTGTACCAACCGCCACTCCTGCCCAGAAAACAACTTTGGAAGTGAGGTCGCTCTACTTAAACAGATATAAAGTGACCTAAAGAGAAGCTGTAAGTGAAAAGTACACATGTGTCTTTGAGCATCCTATTCACATAATGCAGACAGCCAACCGGCGAGCACTGTAGATACTGGGGTGTGTGTGACTGGCAATTCCAGGAGCTTTGAATCACTGTGTCAATGTGAGCACATATAATGATTTAATAACAGAATGCCTTAGAGGGAGGAAGTTTAGTCTTCATTCTTTAAACATTTATAACTGACTTTATTGTGTACCTGCATTAATTTTTGAAGTAAGCTAATTTTAAAGAATTCTTCATAAAAAGTAAAGCTTATTAATATCAATCGTAGCTTTTCAGTGCTCCTAATCTAGAACTTGCTGATGCTTCTGCAGAGCAGAACCAGATGAATCAGTCCTGCACACAGACTCAGGTCACACAACCAACGCATCAACTGTAGAATACAACTCTTACCACCTCCCTCCCAAACACAATCATACCTTCCTGCTTTGATAATAAAGTCTAAGCCACTCTTTTACAGAATACTGACTCTACCTTGAAAACAGTAATACATCTTGAAGACTAGTAACTGAAACTGAATATTGACATAACATTTCTACATTAGTATTATCAGTTATTTTTGCTCAATTAACCCTAAATGAGTAAAAATATGAATAATTGAATCTACAGTGGGAAGATTCAATTAACCATTAGTACAACACACAGCTCTTACATACAAATGAATGTAACTAAACCCATCACTGTTAAGTGACTACACAGCAGGCTGTATGTTGACCGACTTACACACATTATCTCTGATTTTATAATAGCCACAAAATGTAAGTACTGCAGTAAGTGTGCATACAAGGAAACTGTTTAAGTGAAAGTAAATAATTTCCTCATGCCCTTACAACTAAGTAGCAAAGCAAACCACCTATACAAAGTGTTAACTGTTGCAAAAAGCTACTTTCCTGCCCCTTAAAGAGTATATTGCAGAACAAGTCCTTTGCAAAAAAATTCATCCAAAGTTGGTAAAATATTCCCTTTAATGACTAACAATATACCCATAAAACTACTTGGGAAAACAAGAGCAGACACCACGCTGCTGCAAGAGTGAATGGTAATGACCTGGGGGATGACAAAATCGCTGCTCAGGGGCTTCAGAAAGACCCTACTTTAAAATCACATGCTTACCAGGCACAGACAGAGCTTGTGCCTGTGGCACCAGCTACTTGGAAAGCTAAAACAGAGGACTCACATGGGCCAGGAAGTGTGAGGTCAGCCTCAGTAACAACAAATTTTTATGTGTTAGTGTGTGTGCCCATGTGTCCATGTCTGTTGCCTGTGTGTGTGAATATACTGACAGAAATTTTGCTGGCAAAATAAAACTACTAGAGGATATAAAGAAAACAATTCATCAGTCAACAGTGTCCTAAGACTGTATTCCAAGAGTCAGATTCCTCAGCAGTCCACCATGGAAACAACATCATTTTTGTTTTAACATCTAAAAAGCCCTAACAAAACTGACTACTCAAAAGTCACATTAGCTTACTTACTGAAGAAAGCAGTGTCACCAGGCTCGGTGCTGTCTTTCAACTCAGCACTCCAGGGGCAGAGTTCAAGGTCACTGTGGTCTAGGTAGCAAGCTCTAGGCCAGCTAGAGCTATACAGTGAGACCCTGTCTGAACCGAGAAAGAGAGAAAGAATGAGAACAAAAGAAAGACGTGGTGGTGCACGTCTTTAATCCCAGCACTCAGGAGGCAGAGGCAGGTGGGTCTCTGTGAGTTCAAGGTCAGCCTGGTCTACAGGAGCTAGTTCCAGGACAGGTTCTAAGACAAAAGTAACCTTGTCTCGAAAAACAAGAAACAAAAAAAGAAAAGAGAGAGAAAGAACAAGAAAGCTCACAAGCATGTGAACCCCATCTTACTGAGGAACCCCTTGAGTTCATTTAGTAAATGGACGGACCTATTGACAAGAAACCAGCAGACTGTCCTAAGAACGTGCTGATGCATCCCAGGTCCTCCACCACCACCACCCCATGAGTTCAGTCAACAGTCCATTTCTCCAGCTCTTTTTTCTCTACTATAAAATGAAAAACTTGGAATAAACTCTAAGTCAGGCATTCTACCTCCTGTCTGAAGAAGAAAGAATGGCAGTTTGTTCTAGAAGCATGTGTGAACCACTGAGGTGCGCATCTCTAATCTGAGATACCCAGGGTTGGTCCCAGTGGACTGTTGGTCTAAGCTGAGGGACCCAGGGTTGTGTGCTGCCATGAGAGGTCACCAAAAGCATGTACACAGCCTAAGAATTCTCTTGACCACCTGCTACTACAGAATGAACACTCCCTGAATAGAATGGAAGCAAAACGAATATGCCAGGTGGTGGTGGTGGTGCACTCCTTTAATCCCAGCACTTGGGAGGAAGAGGCAGGTGAATCCCTGTTACACAGAGAAACCTGTCTCAAAAAAATGAGAGTATGATCAATGACACATTAATCAACTCAAAAAAAAAATTAAAAGTGGGCAAAGAATTGAATAAACAATTGATCACAGACATGCAGGTGGCCTACCAAGCACAAAAAAGTATGTAGCAGATCATCAGGGAATGAAAACAAAGGTCACAACTTACTTCACTCTCACTAGGCTACTACCCTTCAGAGACTGAGAACCTCTGGTGGTTTTGCATCCACATTGGCAGGCTCCACTCCTATTACATAACACACAAAAATACTTCTGAGGCACCTGGGCCTAAGTGTGAAAGAAATCAGGGAGGCTTCCTATCTAGACATAGGAGAGTTGATTCCAGAGTATCTTTGGGACCACAAGGTAGCAACAAAAGAGGACACAGCACTGACTGGAAGACAGGGTGTGACTATAGAGTTTCAGTCACCCAAAAGTGCTCCAAGACTGAAGAGGCAAGTCACACTCAGAATGTATAAAATTCCAGCATTTCAGTGAGACACAGACGAGACAACTGATTAAAATAGGAGAAAGAGCATTTCTTTATTCATTTGTTTAGCATTTAGCTAAAGGCAGGAGGGTTGCTGCAAGTTTCAGGCCAGCTTGTTCAAACAATCAAGAAAATACTTAGCTAAACTACAGCATTTGGAGGCAGGAATGATTGGTGAGTGGAACTCTCATATGCTAATAGGAATGTCAGCTGGTCAACCACTTTGGAAAACTGACAGTATGCTAGGATCTTCTAAAGGTATATCACACATTATAATCAGCTATTCTAGATAAATACCCAAATTAAAAAAAATTATGTGCCAAAACATAAAAGCAAATGGATTTATTGTTATAAATGGTTGGTTTTTTAATATTTATTTACTTATTATGTATATAATATTCTGTCTCTGTGTATGCCTGCAGGCCAGAAGAGGGCACCAGACCCCATTACAGATGGTTGTGAGCCACCACGTGGTCGCTGGGAATTGAACTCAGGACCTTTGGAAGAACAGGCAATGCTCTTAATCTCTGAGCCTTCTCCCCAGCCCAGTTATAAATGGCTGTTATAGTGTAAAAGGCAATCACCGAGCTAAGAAAGATGTACAAATGAACTGGCTTTGCCTTTGCTGTTGGAAGCTCAGCTAGTTTGGATGTGGGATTAAGATTTGTTTTGTGAGACAAGATTATCACTCATGCAAAAACTACTGTAAAAGAAAACTGTACACTGCCAAGGATTCTTGTTGTTCTAGGATCTTTTAAGAAAATCTGATGCTCCAGTGTGGGTCTCTGTCTCTGTCTCCTTTCATCGCCTGATGAAGGTTAATATTCAGGAGGATGCCTATATGTTTTTCTTTGGGTTCACCTTCTTATTTAGCTTCTCTAGGATGGCGAATAATAGGCTCAATGTCCTTTATTTATGACTAGAAACCAAATATGAGTGAGTACATCCCATGTTCCTCTTTTTGGGTCTCGCTTGGCAGGCAGGCCTTAGCTATATAAGAGAAGTAACTAAGCCAGAGGAAGCAAGCCAGTAACAATCATTCCTCTGTGGTCTTTGCTTCATTTCCTGTCCCAGATGCTTGCCTTGAGTTCTAGTCTTGGCTTCCCATGATGATGGACTGTTACCTATAAGACAAATAAACCCTTTCTTCCCTGAAAAAAAAAAAGAAAAAAGAAAATCTGACTTAGAGCTCATGGTTTCTTTAAAGACTCTTTTCTTTGGTTCTAAAGAGCGCCTTCTGGTCCAAAGAACTGTTAGATTATCACAGTAGGGCAGGGAATGTAGCTCTGTAGTAGAGGATTTGCCTCCCATGCACAAGCCCCATGTTAGAATCTATCCCCAGCACCAAAGGGGAAAGGGAGTCAATACTTAAGCAGATTGTCATTTTGCAACAAATGTAATCATAATGAACCCCTTTCTGCTTAAGAATGGTTATAGGTCAGATGGCAAATCACTGGAAGAAGTCTGAGAAAACCATACACCACACTTCTAACAACTGCAGCTTTTGAGTTCTCTTAACCAGCTCTCTTACACCCAGCCAAGAAAAACCCCTGACTTACGAGGGCTTTCCCCTTTAACAACTAGATACCTCCATCTACTTCCAGAACAACTTACAATCTTGGAGAAGTCCATACTTCCCAGGTTTATTAGGCCTTAATGGCCTGTTTGTCTCTATATAGAAACTATTACAAAGCCACTTTACTACAGTCATGCATTCTATGTGCCAATGTTATAGTTAAAGCAGAAAGCCAGAAGAAACAGGAGCAGAACACAGCAACCATGCCCTCTGTTGTAAACTCAAGAACCCACTACAGCACTGAGCAGTCTGGCAGCTTACGAAATATTTACATCTGCTCCTCCTTCCATCACTGTACTTCCAGGTCTCCTGGGCTGCCTCTCTGTCCAGCTCCCTGTTCACACCAGTCTTCCTCTCAATCTGCAGACATGTGTATATGCTTTTTTCCTACATTTCCAGTCTCAGCTGACAGCATTATCACATACTTAAGAATGAAACATCCAATCTGACCAAAAGTTGGGATTCTAAAATATCTAAGAATGTCAAAGTCAGCCGGGCGGTGGTGGCGCACGCCTTTAATCCCAGCACTCAGGAGGCAGAGACAGGCGGATCTCTGTGAGTTCGAGGCCAGACTGGTCTACAAGAGCTAGTTCCAGGACAGGAACCAAAAGCTATGGAGAAATCCTGTCTCGAAAACCCAAAAAAAAAAAAAAAAAAAGAATGTCAAAGTTAGCTAAATTCAATAAAAGTGAATTTAACAGAATAAAACATAATCTCCCACAGTTGCAGTCCAAAACTAATTCAGAACCACAATGAAGAGCCTTTTTGGTACAGAGAAGACTTACTCAGCACTAGGCTGTGTGCACACTGTGGTGAAGAGGAAGCAAATATTAACATAATGTGGTGTGTGTGGAAAGTCAACACCCACTCCTAACACAATTAAGGAGCTACATCTATAAGACATGCAACTCCAGGTCTTTGCATAAACCATGCATGGGGAGTTGATTGTATTTTAGACACTACAACTTAAAGATAGAATTTAGAAAAAGGAAAATCATTGGTGAACAGACATGGAGCCAGGTCATATAACTAAGAGCTTACAGCAGGGAAGTGGTGGCACATACCTTTTATCCCAGCACTCAGGAGGCAGAGGCAGGTGGATTTCTGTGAATTCAAGACCACCCTGGTCTACAAGAGCTAGTTCCAGGACAGGTTCCAAAGCTACAGAAAAACCGTCTCAAAAAACCAAAACCAAAAAAAGAAGAAGAGGAGGAGGAGGAAGAGGAAGAGGAAGAGGAAGAGGAAGAGGAAGAAGAAGAAGAAGAAGAAGAAGAAGAAGAAGAAGAAGCAAGAAAAACAAACAAAGAGCTTACAAACTGTAAGTGTTTCCATTCAGAATGACTGAGAATACCTGATCCTGTTTGAAGGGGCATTCTGCTAGTACTACATGACTCCAAGACAGAACACTGTAGGTTTCCAGAGAGGATAAGAAATTACAGTTCTAATTTAAAGTATTGTAGGCTATCTCTAGAGTGAGGGCTCTCAACTGAGAATGAATTTGTCCCTTTCAGCTGCCACACATCCCACAGCATAGGGAGCCCCCAACCAAAGGATGAACCATCTCAACAGTCAACAACCCAGGGCTGAGAAGTGCTGCACTGGATGTAATGAGTTTGCTGTCACTGGAGTTCCCCACCATGTACACGAGGAAATGTCTAGGTAAGGCCAAAGACAGAAAGAACTGAGTTGAAAAAATATTTATATATACTGTTTCTGTAACTAAAAAACAAAAACCCTAACTCCCTTCCATTATACTCAAATAATGATAGAATCAGACTTATGTGCACATTTCATAGGTAATTCTCACAACCAACTGCAAACTCAGAACTATTTTATCTTGATATGATGTTGTATTAGCTTGCCCTAATGTCATAATCGAAGTCAATACTTGATCTCGGATCTGACTCCAATTTCAAAGACATAGGTTTGTACATACATATATCGCTGCACAGAGCATGAACAAACTACCCTGGAAGCTTTCGTGCTCCAGAAAACCAAGTCATGTTCATTCCAGAGGTACCAGAACAATTTCTAAGCAGGTTTACCCTCATTACAAACCTCTCTGGCCAGGAGAAAGGGGAAAGGATTATTTGAAATATTCCTGTGATGAAGGAGACACAGTTATCCTGACTTCTGTAAGAGCCAAGGAGCTCTTAC